AAAGGAGGACCAGACATCCCATCTGAGAAATGACAGGGAGAGACAAACACACTAAAAAAAAGAACTCAAGGTAGAGAAAAAACAATGCAGGGAGTAATAAAAAACTTGAAGCAAATTTGCCCTTAGAGAGGTAATAGTTCATCCATGCAACAAGAACAAACACTGTAAAAAGGAACTTTTAAGGATAAAGAGTTCCAACAAACTGGCGCTTCAGACAAAGAGATAATAAAGAACAGAGGAACGAGGGCGCTGTAAAAGAAACATACAAATTTCTTAGAACACTGTGATGTGCTTGGAGCTGAAGGGTCAAGTGCCCAGCATGATTAACGAAAAAAATGTCCATATCAAAGCATATCATCATAGCATTTCAGAATACAAGTAAAAAACAATTTAAAAAGTTTCCAGAGATAGAATCAAAATGAAACCCAAACCAGGGTACTTAAAAGGATCACTAGAAATGACACTGGATGCCTCTCTACAATGGGGTACTGCATTCGTTATTCTGAGGGCAACTGATTTGTAAATAAAATTCTATATCCAACCAAACTCTTAACCATGTGAGGGGCAGAATAAAGAGTTTCAAACATTTGAAGCCTCAAAAAATTTCCCTCCCATGCACAATTTTTAAAAGAATCTATTGGAGGATGTGTTCCCTCAAACGAGTGAACCGAGAGAGAAAGAGACAAGGAAGGTCAGGAAGCAAGGAATCCAACGTGGGAAGGGAATCTCCAGCAAAACGCTGGAGGAGATCCAGGGTAACCCCCTCCGCAGCAGGTATGGGGGCAACCAGTCCAGATGGGAGCAGGATGGAGGCTCTGTGAGAGATTTTCTGAGAAGATGAAATTTATGAAATACCTAAGACATCTGGACACACTGAGAGAAAATTTAGACACTTGGCAGAAAGCTTATGGTTAAGTTAGCAATTAAAAACATAGAAAACTAGTCCCCCCTTAAAAAAAATAAAATCAACCTCAAGCAAATAAAAGATGTGTTGTTAACTCCAGGGACAAAAAGTTGCAAGGGAAAGAAACATAATCAGAGTATAAATAGAAGACTCAGCTGTGAAAAGCATTCACATCGTCATGATGACATAAAACACAATACTGAGCCAAACAAAATTACATTATAACTATCCTGGGGGTAAGGAGAGAGAGGAAAGGCAGTAGCAGTGAGGGTCAGGTTGGTGAAAGGCAGCAAAATCAGCATCGTATGCCTCAAAGTGAAAACAAACCAATGAAGAGATATCTAAACATATTATTGCAAGATATGATGATAAACACCAAAACAATCAGCTAAAAGAACTGAAAGGGTTTGCTTCTAGGGAGGGAGAAATAGAGTGAGGAGGTGGGGGATCTGTTTTGCATAAATATTTGTAGAATGATCTGATCTTTAATAAAAATAAAAAACAAACCAACCAGGGCCGGCCCGGTGGCGCACTGCTACAGTGCGCCGCTTGGGGGCGTGGTGGCGCTCCCACCGAGGGTTCAGATCCCACATGCGGACCGGTTCCCGCTCACTGGCTGAGCGAGGTGCGGGCGCGGCACCGAGGGGTGCGATCCCGTTGCCGGTCCCGGTCCGGTCCCGGTCCGGTACGGGCGCGACACTAAGGGTTGCGATCCGTTGCCGGACACGAAAAAAGACAAAAAGGAAAAACAAACAAACAAACAAACAAACAAACAAACCAACTTGTTCAGCAAGTTGCAGAACAGTTATATACAAGATGATCCCATCTTTGAAAAATACAAGTTAAAAAGGACATAAGTATAAACAGATATGTTGGCGTTAACATCATTAAATAGAGAAGTGTCAGTATAAAGTCAGGAAGGAAATGCACCAAACTGCTATCACTGTCATCTCCAGGTGGTAATGGAGAGCTGAGGTGCTTTTATTTCTTTTAATTTTTTGAATCATATAAAGCAAAAAGTGGCGGGATCAAACGTAAAACTACTTCTCAAATAATTAAATTTTATGTTTAGCATGAAAGTTTTAATGAGCAAAATTAAAAGTGTGTGTTTCTGTGTATGGCACGGTGGACAGGAAAAAGGCTGGGGACGGTTCACATAAATGGCTAACACCCTAAAGGGTTAACTGAGGGTTCCTCACCTCTTGGGACCTTGACAGGGGTGGGAGTGGGGGTGGGAAATTGGGACCTTTCACTCTTTGTTTTATATACCTGTGCATTGTTTGAAACTTTTCCACATGAGTGTGTATGACTTTCACAAGCAGACACAATTGCAGCCAAGAGCCTGGCAAGGCCTCATGTCATGTGTAAAGAAGGAGGGTACGAGCTAATGGGGAGGATGTGGCAGGAACCGGTGGTCTGGTGAACAGCACACAAAGGTGGAAACAGAGTCATTTTCTCAGGTCTTAGGTTTCTAAAACCTGTATTGGGCAAACCCAATGCTTCTTTGGGTCCTGTCTGACCTGCTGGTCAGCAGGGTGGACCCAAGCTGTAGGGACCATTAAAAAGATGTATGCTGCAGCTTTCATGAAGGATATTGTTTCAGGAGGATATTGTTTTCCCACTTACCTCTGGGCCCAAGTGGGGAGAAGCAAGTCAGGCAAACCATTTACCTTTGCAAAATGAATAAGGTTTAACATAATAAGACCTAAGAATCTGGGAAATTATTCTAAAGCATAAATTTAATAAAAGACGTATTTAAGAGATATTAAGAATACCTTAGGGCCGGCCTAGAGTGCGGTGCTGATAACACCAAGGCCACGGGTTCGGATCCCGTATAGGGATGGCCGGTTTGCTGGCTGGCTGAGCATGGTGCTGACAACACCAAGCCAAGGGTTGAGATCCCCTTACCGGTCATCTTTTTAAAAAAAAAAAAAAAGAATACCTTAAATTATATAAAGGTTTGTGAAAATTTTAGGAAGAGAATTAGAATGGTAAGTTAGGAAATCTTCATTTTTAATTAAGAACCCTAGTGTTACTATTTTTTTTTTTTTTGTCTTTTTCCGTGTCCGGCAACGGAGCGCAACCCTCAGCGTCGACCCCGTACCGGACCGGGGACTGGCAACGGGATCGCAACCCTCGGTGCTGCTCCCGCGCCTCCCTCAGCCAGTGAGCGGGAACCGGTCTGTATGTGGGATCCGAACCCTCGGCGGGAGCGCCGCTGCGCTTCTCAAGCGGCGCACTATAGCAGTGAGCCACCGGGCCGGCCCCCTAGTGTTACTATTTTTAAGCCGAATTCACCATTATTTTAACTGACCACTTG